GAGGGAACCGGTGATGATAAAAAGGCCCCTGTGGGTTCTGAGAGAAGAGAGGAGAAACTTGACATTACTTATGGAAAGAGATAATGCTAGAGAGGCAGATAGGAGACAGAAATTGGAAGGTCCCAATGTTAAGTTTGGGCTATTGTTACCCTACATGCCATAAGCTGAGAGAAAAATGGGGTGTTTGACATAACCAGATAAATATTTTGAGTTGATTTCTCTGGTTGAAATAGGCAGCAAAGATCAGTGTGGTATTAAGCAAGCTTCTTTCAGTTTCAATGAGCAAAGTTTCCACCCACTTACACTGGTTTAAAGACAAAGGTTATTCATTGGCTTTAAAATTGTAAAGCATGGCCGAGAGCAGATAGCCTGCCATTTTGGGATCCAGATACTTAATCACATATTCAGGAATACATCTTTCTGCATTACAGCCCAGCTTTCAGCTGTGGCTTTATTTGGAGGCAGAATCTCCTCTCCTGGGGATAACATGGAAGCTGGAAGCATAGAGTAAAAAATATCATATATTATCCTATAATTATCCATTATTACCCTAGCAGAAAAAGAACTTCTTTTTCCCTTTTTTCCCAGGAAAGATTCCCAGGACTGTTCCTTAATGAACACCTTGATCACATGCCCATCTATGAAACAACCATCATGGCCAAGGAAGAGGCACACTCCAGGTCAGGCCTGAATGACTTGCTATCTCCTAGAGCTAGGTGGTACAGGCAATCCCGTCTGCACCACAGGGCCTGAGAAAAGGAAAGGCACAAGTCCCTTCAAAGAACTCTGGATGCTGTCTCTAGAAGTGGGAGGTCCAAAGAAAATATGGGGGAACAGGTTAAAGGGATATAATTCTGTTCCTGCATAGAAATAACCATAGTTTAGACTGAGGGTAGAGATGTAGAAGGTACTTAGGAGAATAAATTCACAGAACTTTGTAATGAATTAGATAAGGGGTTAGGAAAGTTAAAGTATAAGGAATGTGTTCTAAATTTCCTGTTTACGTAACTGGTGATATAATTTACTGAAGAGTTAACACTGAAAGGCAGCCGAGTTAAAAGGTAGGGAGAGAGGTGTAATATCATGAGTTTAATGTGGGACATATTTAGTTGCAGATGCCATTGAGACATTCAAGAGATGTCAAGCATTGTCTGAAGATCAGGGAAGACATCTGTGCTGGAGATGTAAGCTTGCCCAGCACAGGAACAGCTCATTGACTGGAAGGAGTCTTGACCAAGGATGGTGACAGAGGCAGAGTCAGATGTTGGTGAATGGATAGTATGGGTGAAAGGTAAAGAAATAGAGACAGCAAGTATACATTAGTCATTGTGGTAGATTAACTGTGGCTACAAATTCATTACTACTTCCCCCATTGACAAGTGGAGTTTAATTTGCTTCTCAGTGATACTGGGCTGGCTTTTAAGTAACTTGCTTGACCAGAAGAAGGCAGCAGATGTAGTATTCTGGGACTTCCAGTGCTAGATTATAAGATGCCTTATAACTTCTGCCTGAGCCTCCTGGAACATGTGCTATGAAGATCAAATAACCAGACTAAATAAAGTGTCCTTGGGCAAATTACTAAACTCCTTAAGACTTAATGTTGTTATTTGCATAATGTTAACTACTCACTAAATATTGGTAGCTGCTGCTTTATCATGACTGCCAGCTTAATTCATTTTTTAAAAGATTTTATTCATTTATTTTCAGACAGAGAGGAAGAGAGAGAGAAAGAGAGGGAGAAGAACATCAATGTGTGGTTGCCTCTTGTGTGCCCTCTACTGGGGACCTGGCTCACAACCTAGGCATGTGCTCTTGAGTGGAAATTGAACTGGTGACCCTTTGATTTGAAGGCTGGCACTCAACCACTGGGCCACACCAGCCAGGGCCAACTTAATTCATTTTGAAAGAAATGAATTAAGTAGCATAAGTGGAGATAAGGTTTGGCCTATTTTTCTTTACAAAGGATTATTTTTATATTTTAACAAAGAATTGCTTTTATAATTATTTTAGTGGTAAGTATAATTTTTATCATAAGCTATAGTTTAACCCATTTTACAGATGCATCAAGTAAAATGAAAAAGAAATACATTAATAGTTTTAGACCTAGAGCAGACCTTGGATTAAATCCTAGATCTTTGCTCAGTAAATGTACCATATTATTAAACAATTAAATCATTAGTCACCTAAAATATCTATAATCAGAATTCTTAAAGGAAATAAATGTAATATTCAGTGATTTCTGCAATGATGGAACATTCAGTGGCTATATTTTCAGAGGTACTTTGTCACTTGAGCAGAGCTTTTCTGAAGTTACAGATAGCTTTTCTCTAACATCATTTCCAGAAATACCACCTCTGAAAGTCAGAGAATTAAATTACTACTTTAATCTAGTAACTGCTCTAACCCCAAAGAGAAAATTTCAGGAAATACCATTCTTAGATTAAGTATTTGTAGGAACACCATCTTAAGAACTTATGGATATAATATAGCCACTAATTTTATCTGACTTGTATCTTTCAAATGAGGAAAAAAATAGGAGCAATCAAGACACCTTGATTATAAATAAAGCCACTTGCTTCCAAATAGTACTTTCCAATTTCCATAACCTCACTGGACAGTCTCCTACGTGACCCAGTGAGCTTGCATTTCCCAGGCGTGAGGAGAAAGGAGTCTCTTTTGACTCCTATTTCCTAAGACCATCCTTCCCATCAGGTTTGCAGAGAGTAGAGAGAACATTTTCCTGGTCTCTCCTAGAAATTTGACTGTTGGTTGCATTTTTCCCTCAGCTGAGTTAGGTGGTCTGATACAGGCTCCATGCAGCCTAATTGTTCACTCCAGGGGATTTACAGATGGCAAAATTCTGTTCTTACTTGGATACTTTGCCAATCTCACTTCCTATTTTCCCCCTACTTTCTTGAAGAAGAAAAGACTTTTCTGTGTCTGGACAACTGGAGAAACAATTTGAAAGGCCCCTTGTCAAAACACTATGTATGACTGCATGTGACGTGTTTCGCCGAGCTGTTTTCTGAGTAGACCCCAGCCCTCCATGTCACTCCACTGAAAATGAGATTAAGTGTAAGCAACCAGACAGGGAGACTGTTGTCCATGATACAGTGGTCACCACTGCATCAAATCCAGACCCCTGGAAAACTCGAACTAAATATGTTGAGGCATGATAATATTTACTGAGAATACCAAACCCACCTGTAATTTATAGAAGTAACTGGGGTTTGCTAAGAAAGAAATTTAATTTCTACTCACTTGAATTAAAAATTACATAATATTTTCTGCTTAATTTATTAAATGGAACTGAGTATGGTACTGTGTTTCAATACTGAACTTTAAGAAAACAAGAGAATCTTTGGATAGCTCCTTTTATTCTAATTCTACTAAAAACAATAGCAAATCGGCAACCTCTCCATAGAAGTATAAAAAGGAGAAAATGTACCTAGCACTGTGTAAAAAAGGTAAGTAATTCAAACTGATGTTGAAACTATACATGAATCTCTACCATGCCCTCTTGAATTCCCTTGACCTCATATCCTTACACTACCAAATCACAAAGAAAAGTGTCCGTGAAAGTCAGCATCCCATACCCGTGTGTAATGCTAACAGAGTGACAGTGGCTACGTTATTATTTTGAACTTAGTCCCTTTCCTCTCCCTTTCTTTATGGCATAATTTCTATTCTTTTAAGCCTGATAACTGGACTAGCACAAGAAAAAAAATTGCATCAGAAAGAAGGGAAAAACTTCCTGAGAACAGTATGATTGCCAAGCAGTATGATTGCACAGTCTGGCTGCCTTGTGTGATTAATATATGTAACTACAAACCCTTAGCAATTTTAAACTAATGTACAAACGAGAAGATGAGACAACTATTTGTATTTGCTCTCTATGAACAATTACTTTAGATGCTTCAAGGATATTACCTTTTGATTTCTCTCAATAGTAAACTTGTGAGCCTCATCCTCATGATTATCTCAAACTAATTTTCCACTTAATTGTCCTATTTTTTCATTTGAAGTGATGAACAATAAACACTGCATGCCCATCTCTCTCTCTTACACACATACACAAATATGATTTACAAAGTCAAAAAGGCTGTGAAAAGAAGAAATCTCACTGAAGTCTGCTTCACCTTACTATCATTTGTGTATGTTTTTTTATTCCAGCACTTTAACAATACAAAAAAAAGCTCAATATCTTTACATATTTTATTAACAGGATTAATACATTAATGTATCAAGATATTTGCATGCATGTAGATAAAGTAAATATGACTTAACTCATGATTTCTAAAGCACTGTAGGCATTTAAAAAATGTAATGTTGTACATTTTTTCTGTTTAGGCATATGTTGTTGTCCTGAATAATTTTTATTTTCCTCCACACACACACAACTTGACATTATATGGTACAGCACTTAAGGGGAAAATTTTATTTAGCAGGCTCTCTCGAAATATGATTAAAATGGAAATATGCTTTTCTATTCATTTGTGACATCAACAGGACCTAAACAGAATTCACGAGATGGTAAATATTCACATTTATCCTCTGAGCCAACTGTTAATGTTATTTTCAGCCCTACCTGAAAGGTTTTATGTCAATGACTGCTAATTTCATTAGGGATGTTCTTTCAAAAAAAATCATGACCCAAAATGTTTCTTCATTTAAACAATTTTATTTATGGTGGAATTTTCAAAATGTCTTATATCTTGAAATTATCCACAAAGTACTATTTTGTGTTTACATTAACAAGATGTATTTCTTATAAGAAAAGATAAAAATATGTACCATTAGGCAGTATTGTTATATTTTTATTTAATACAATATAACTAAAGGATTAAAGAATAAAAAGTTAAATATATTTAAATCTTTCCATAACTGATTTGCAGTTGTTCTAATGTTTTGAAGAAAAAATAAAGATCTAAACACCAGAGATACTTTGATAAGTGATATTTATAAAATATAAGTTAAGCATTGCAACAAGCTACCTTCAATGAATTGCCCCTTTCAGAAATAATATTATTGGAAGCAAGTATCTAAAGCAAAGAATAAGAAAAAAGAGGGGGGTAAAGGGAGGGAGAGAAAAGAAAAATGTATTAATGACAATGGTTAGTTTTTAAATACATTTTCTTATAAAGTGGCAAGATAATATGTACACATCTACAACTGAAAGGAAATCTCTGTATATAGGTTGACTTGCTTTTTGACTCTTCAGACAAACTTCCTCTTGTGTAATAGGCTCTCCTGGCGGAACTGATCAAAACTAGATTTTTAGTTCATAGCACATGATAGATTAGCCTTGAACTAGAGGCCCCTGGAGTTGCAGGCTGTGAATCGGTGCTGGTAGCTGGGGAGAGAGAGGCCAGGTCCTGCAGAGGCAATCCAGGTTGCTCTGAGTTGGTGATCCGATCCACTATGCTGGATAAGCAATCCAGGCTGGATAAGGAGCTTTTATCTGTGGCATATACTAAGGATACAAAGAGAAAATCATTTCAAAAAATTCCAAACATATAGGCTTGCTTATGTTGTTGTCCTTTAAACTGTAGGTCAGCTCCTTTGACACCCAGAGGTCAGGTAGTCACAGAAAGCCTGATGTAGAAATCTTCAACAAATATTATTGAGGGTGCACGTAGGGAGTGAAAAATCCCTCTGGTACTATTTCAAGCAAAAGTGCATATGTGTATCTGTTGGGTGGATTTTGAGCAAATGTATGTGTGTGTATGTGTGTCTAGTTTGCTCTGCTAATAATTCTGCATAAGAAACGGCATTTCCACTCCCTTCCCCGATACCACCACGAAGGATGGACTGATTTGACAGGCTGAATTGTGAAGCTGAACTGGTCTTTAAACTCCTCTGAAGTCATCAATTCTTACCATTTGGTATATCAGGACAGTAGATGCTGTCAAAACTGCTGCTCTTTCTGGACCAGACAGGACTGTTACATTCAGGCTGTAATATAAGACACAAAGGAAAAAGTTTGTTTTCAGGTCTTGGCAAAAGGTTCTCTGCTCTAGAGTGAGGCAGTGCTTACCCACTTGCTCCCTAAATTGACCACTGTCAATCACCTTCATTGCCTTGATTTAGGAAGGGTTAGTCCTACCAAATTGCAAGGGCACTGAGGTCAATCTCTGTGCTTGGAGAAAAGGAAAGCAGCAGCAAAGGAAAGAGGGGGGTGAATTCAGAGCAATGTGCATTGGGTTAACCATGCAAAATGGATTGGAATAGAAGGAAGCCACACTAATTCAGGGAGAAAGCACTTTCCCAGGGCAAAAACGCATGAAAACCTGGCAGTGTTGGAGCAAGCGCTCTCTGTAAAGAATGCATCAACATCTCCTTCTGGCCAGGCCTCAGCAGAGCAGGGACTGGGGCCCCCAGCATTTCTTTCAACTTCCTCCTTAAGTTATAAACTGGGGCACTGGGAGCTTCAGAGAGTTGTCTTTAGATGTTAGTGTATGGCAGGGTCCACTGGTGGTATGTTTGGGAAACAAACTGAGCCATGGAGAAAACGTGATTGATCATTCACAGCCACCTATCTCACATGGCAACTCTCTCCTACAATGCACACCTAGAACCTGGAAGGAAATCAAATTAAAGTACTATTCAACAGTACTCTATTTTTTGGCATCTTTCTAAACTCAGCACCTCCCTTCTCTTACCACACCTGCCTCCCCACATACAATACCCACAAAATAACCATTGAACATTTGTTTGCTACACCTGGTTTAAATGACACATAAGGATTTTTGACAAAGATAGGGGTGGTGGGGCAGGTACCAAACTGACTCTTACCATGCCGTCGGAGCAGTTGGAGGTGGGGCTGGTGGGCTCTGAGCAGCTCTGTCCTGGCATGCTGTAGTAGTTCTCCACCTGCTCCCTCAGCAGCTCCTGCAGGCTCTCGATGTAGCGGATGGCGTTCCTGAGGATCTCTACCTTGGGCAGCCTCTGGTTGGGGTTGGTCGTGGTGCACCTCTTGAGTGTCTCGAAAGCCTGGTTGACCTTCTTCAGGCGTCTCCGCTCACGCATGGTGGCAGCCTTCCGCCTATCCATGGTAGTGGACTTTCTCTTGCATGCTTTGCAGGCCCACATGAGGCAGTGGCCAGCCTGGTGGTGGCCTGTAGGGGCTCGCACGTGCTCGTCCTCGTCTGAGCCTTGCAGCTCTGCTTTGTGAGCCCCGAACGCAGCCACTCGAGGCTCAAACTGGTCCCCGAACTCGCCCTCAGGGGATGGGAGGCAGGAACCGTCGTAGAAGTACTCCGAGGGCGAGAACTGGCAGCTGTCCATCATGTCCATCCTCTGTGGTGAGGCTGGTGGTGCACCTGGACTGCAGCGAGGGAGACAGGAGAGAAACTGGAGCCTGCGCCTCTGTGGGCCAGCAAACCCCAGGCGGAGCTCCCAGGTCGGTTTCTCTGGTAATTAACAAGGGCAGAAGCCTGGCGGCCTGGGTCCGCCTTGCTGGGGTTAGGGCTCTTTATATATTCTTGGGGGACGGAGGCCGGCCCCAGTGGCCAGGCACTATTAGCATATCCCACCGCAACCCCCGCCAGGGCTGTCTGGGCAAACCTCCGCCTTCCCTCTAGAGACAATTTGCTGTTTACTGCCCCTTCTGACGCTAATGGTTTTACTGCATTTCTGCCTGGGCGGAGGATGGGTCCCCAACCCTCTCAGTGGCACTCTCTAGATGCACTTAAAGAGTGCCACCAACAAAAGAAAGGAAGGAAACCTAACCTTTTGCCATTACTAGCACAATTTTTTTAAATGTTATTAATAAATAGAACTCACCAAAGCCCACCTGCCTTCCCATTCCTGGACATGAGGAATCACCTTATTTTTAAGTATTTATTCTCTTTAGTTGTCTCAGGATTTTTTGGGGGGTGGGGGGTGGGGGGAATCAGTGGACCGGAATAACGGTAGCTATAAACTTAAAAGAGACACTTTCATCTTGGAGCGAATGTAGATTGTTTACAAAATCTCTTTTGTTCTGAGCAAATTGTCATTTTATAAATCCTATGTTACTGGGGGTAGGTGGGAACTGCTCTCTCAATGTGTCTGTTCATCTAAAAGGAGATGGGCGCAAAAGCCAGGTGAAGGGAAAGTCCCCCTCCTTCGGCCCTTCTGCACGTGTTCGCTGAGCGCCTCCACTCCGTACCAGGGCCTTTGCTGGACCCCCAGCGGGCCCAAGATCCACAGCTGCATCTCGGTGATTTGCATTTGAAGAAACGCAGTTTTGAACGCTAACTCCCTTTCTAGAGGCTCGTCTCCTGCCTCCATTCTCCCTCTTTCTGCTCCGCCCTGCCATTTAGACAGACTAAACAGCCAGGCTGGGCTTCGGGGTCGCTAATTTTCTGCTTTCAGGCAAACTAACACCGTTACAGATGCATCCCAGCTGCCGGCAAGGCAATCCTTCTGGGCGCGTGTAAAATTTCCAGCTGAAACCCTGAGTAACTTCACACACTCCCGCGACAAAAGCCTCCCAGAAAAACAATCGTAGCAGGGTCTTTGAAACTTTGGTGGGGAGAAGAGGAGAGGGAAGGGCTGTCATTTAAGCAAGAATGAATCTAATAATCAGGTTTTTGCCAATCCACCTCTGCCCTTAACCCACTTGCATATCACGTGGGGTTGGGGAGTGCTGCTTACTTATAGGAAAAGCAATTATTTAAGGTTTACACAAACAGACCAGAGTAGTCTGGGGGTTCTGACCAGGAGAGACTGTCATCTCCTCTATCTGTGGTCACCCAGTACAGTAAGGGTTGTGGCTGCAAAGTTACTTGGGGGAAGGTGGCTCTTCCCTATTACTTTTTGTAAAATTATTTTTTTAAAAGCAAACTTGACTGGCTGATCCAAGGACTGCAGGGGCCAGAGAAGTGCTCACTGTCCAGGGTTAGATCTGCCCTCCACAGCGAAGGCCCTGGAAACCAGGGGAAGGAGAGTGTCCGGCACTGAGGTTTGCTACGAGGTACAGGTTGCAGTCCCTTCTCTGAGGTTTTGTCATCCCAGAGGCAAAGATACCACTACCACCAATCACCCTTTGAAAATCAGGCTCCCTTTCACACCACTGGCTGCTTAATTGTCTGGCCAGTGGAAAATCCATCTGCACCTTATTTAGAACTATTAACAAGTAGATGCCTTTGAAATGAATACAGTACCCAGGGCTACACACCAGATAAAAGAGTCAAGTTCCTGAAGGACCCAGGCGGAATGGAAGGCTGTATCCATGCCTGTAAAAACATTCGAATTTATGTTGCTGCCTCTGAAACACTATAGTGGGGAAATATTCTCACCTAGGAATTCTCAGCCAAATCCCACAGGTTCTGGCCAGCAGCAATACTAGCACTTTCTCTGGCCATGAGTTCAGACTTTAGGAGGCTGGTCGCAGCTAAACAGATTTATGATTTGGCCTTTCAGACTATTTCTTTCACCAGGCACCTAAAGTGTCTTGTATCCAAACCTTCAGTGTGGGGTATTTGTAGCAAACAACTAAGACTTTTCTTATTTGCCAACCTATGTCTCAACCATTCCCAGGTATTCATTCACTTACTACTTCCAAAGATACTATTTTTTATTAGATCCTCTTTTCAAAAGAGAGCAATCAAACTTCAGCGGGTGGGTAGGTAGTAATTTGCCCCAGGTCACAAAGTATTGGAAACTAGGTATTCCTTTGTCTAACTTGTGCGCCTAAATGTGAATTTTGGTTTTTTTTTCCTTTTTCTTCCATTCGGGCACAGTGCGCCTGCTTTGCGCTGCGGCGCAGAAACTCGCAAAACCTGGGTCCAGGACGTATTGCCTGCAGTCCGGGTCCTGGGAAGACGCTGTCGCTCGGGATGCTCTGTCAGTAACTCAATTCTCAGAGGTTAGTGCTGTCTTTGGAGAGGTGATCTCAAAACAAATTTACCAGAGTGCCACGGGCGAGTGGAACTAAAGAAGCCAAGGAAATACAAGCGCCCCACGGCTTAATAGGACCTGCTTGAGGGGAAACACCGATCGGGGTTGAGGACCTTGGAGCTCGAGTGCTGAAAATGGAGTTTCGGGGCACCAAGTTAAAAAAACGAGACAGAACTTTTAAACCTCTGTCGGGGGCAAGGGAAGAAAGATCAAAAAGTGGGAGGCAGTGTACAAAGGATGTCTGCGCCTCAAAGATACCAAGGGTGCCCCATTTCAGGAGAGGTTCTGCTGCTCTTTTCCGAGGAGAGAAAGGGTGAGAGAAAAATGAGAAATTGGGTGGCTGATACGGAGAAAAATGTTTTTTTTTTCCTGAGTGGGAAAGTTGAGCAGAGAAGTATGAAAAAAGTTAAAAATCACTTTTAGAAGTTCTGCTGGTTATCCAATTGCTCTTTTACTCAGAATCGGACAATAATCTGGTTTTTGTTCTCCATAGAAAAGAATAAAAATACAACCTGTTTTCCACTATCTCTCCAGAGAAGTGGACTTCTATATGCAGAGAAAATTCACTTGTATTTAATATGTGAACAGGTTGTTAGAAATGATATCCCAAAACTACTAGGAAAGCTTCAATTCAGAACAAGCAGATGAAGAAAGAAAACCAAGCCACCGCTTGGTGTTTTCTTAAATTTCTTAAACTTACATCTTAATAAAAATAAATGCATGTTTGATTTTCTTACAAGTTAGACTTATAAGCAAATTTTAATTGCATAGACTTTTAAGTAATCATCAATCTGCTTTTTTTTTTAAGAGAACTTATTTTAGCTTAGGCATTATGGCAACAATCCTAGTGTTGATGGACACACCACACCAGCAAACGGATACTTAGAGGTTACTTTTCTAGTAAAATTGGCCCACCTTAGGAATTCTACATGCTTCCTTTAGTTGGAGAAGCAAATATACCTGGAAAGGTAACTCCATTTCAATTCACTTCTGCCTCTACCTGAGACCCTTATAAACTCTTGGTCAAAGGGAATTGTTCTAGAGATTTTTGCTTATTATATGTATCTTCACAATATGCTAAACAATTCCAAACTGTTATTAGCTCTGGGAACCAGGCACACCTAAGTAAACACATTAGTACCTGCCAAAGCTGCTGGAAGAATTTGTGGAGAAGACAGCTGAGGAAGACATTGGCCTCTGCTTGAATTCGAAGACTCCCAGGAGAGATCAAAGGCCTAAGGAAGGACTTTTAGCAGACTTGAGAATAGAGAAAGTAACCAGTTCTTACAATATTACCAGTAACTTTGTTCCAGCCACATGGCATAGCCCGCATAGGCTAACTCTAACCTAGGCTTACAGAATTGCTTTTTTGGGAATACAACCTCTAGGACCAAGGATCATCTTTTGTAACACTTCTTTTGAGTTTAAAGGAGTCACTGGAGGGAAATGTCTTGATGACTTGTCTCTTTTGAGGAAATACCATGTTATTGTTAACTTACTAATGCACTAAATTAAAAAATGAGATAAGCAAAGTTTAAATTAAAATATTTAAAAATACTTTTCCGATGTAGTAGTGTTCTGGGAGGAAGATTTTGAGATGAATAAATAGGATAAAATATTACAAAAAGAAATTGCAAATAAATATGTTGTAACTTTAAGTAAAAAAATATCTTAAGACTAGAAGTTATTTTAGCAACCCAAGACTTCTCTGGTCCTCTCAAGAGCAGTTGGGGACACTGAATTTCAGCACCATACTCCCACCCTTAAATACATGAAAGAGTCCCCCTTTGCAAAAAAAAAATAGTTGATATTAGACATAAGTAGATTTTCACTGCCTTCAGGCTTAGAATTCAATAATTCTGATGTGATATTAAAGTTAGAGAAAAGCTGACATTTCATGTTTAACAAGTTATTTCTATAGTAATATAAAAGAGAAAATCACATTATTTCATACATAACTTTATACCTGCATCTGGAAAGAGGCTCAGTTTAAATCCCAAATTGCTTATCTTTACCAAGTTATTATATCTTGATTTTCTGTTTCCATGGCCCTGTTTGTTTTGGCTTTGGCCTTAGTAAAGATTATCATCATTAATATCCAATAAAAACATTTTAATTGCAAACACACCAAGGATTCCACTGGAAAGCCTAACATGTCAGCTACAGCAATGGAGGTCACATGAAGTCTTTGGGAAATATTTGCTCTATTTAATGAAGAGAATTCTATAAGCAAACCTATTCTAAACAATTTCTCAAGTTACCCAGCAAGGAGAGATAGAGAGGATTTGGTTTGCAGAGACTGAATCAAATCTATCAGCAAATAAAGTCCATGAATTGATAAAAGCATTCTGCTACTGAGCTGTTTGAACACAAATTTTATAAATATATGTGCAATCCTAAAGAAGTGAGTTCACTTGGTCAATTATATTTTATTTCAGTGTGGCATGAATCTGATTTTTAAGACTACAAATGTGTGTGTATATACTCACATTTTAGGGAAAATCTCTATTGATTTTCAGGAAAAAAGTAATAGATTCTTAATAAGCAGGATAATGATTATATACCCTGCCCAGACATATTTCCACATGTTCTGATTGGATAATTTGAAATGCTTTCCCACTTATTTTTAAATTAAATTACTGCTCTAAGGTAGAGTTTACTAGCTAATCATTCTTAAGAGCTTTTGGAAAACAATTGTAAAAGAGAGCCAAATTATTGTAGACAATAAATGTTTCTTCTTATTTCCCAAGGCTTTTCTTGGGGGTGAGGGGAGGAGGGTTCATGGTGATTGGGAGAATAGGCTGGAAGCCTTTGGTATTGCCTGGCTCTGAGTCCTGACTCTATGCCTATAAGAACCTCTCCGTCCCAAAGGTTTCTTTTCTTTACAATGTTAGATGTGACAATACTACTTTTCTTGCAGGCTGTTGTAGGATTATAGGAGTTAATATGTAAAATACTACAAATGGCTCATCCATGTTGCTGCTGGTCTCATTGTTATTAATGCTTTCTCCCCCACCAGAGCCTGCAAAGATGGAAGAAAAGGCCCTGGTGGTCAGTTTATATTTACTAATGAAAAATAAAATGAGCTGACATTGGGTGTTTATTTTGTGCCCTCTGTTGGCTAAGCAGTCTATATGGGTTAGCTCAGTGAATGTTGACACCCCCAGGAGTTGAGCACTACTACTGCCGTCCCCATTATTTTATAAATGAAGAAACAGATGAAAAGAGGAGCACTTACAGCCCAAGTTTACCCTTTAGCAGCCTGGATTCAGTCTCGGTTGTCAGCGCCCACGGAGACGTTTGTATCCACTAACAGTCCCGTTTGCTCTCCTCAAATCTTTGAGAGGGATTACGTGTCAATGTTAGTTTCCTCTGTGAAACTCTCTACATTTAAAAAGTATTCTAGGAAAAATTAGATTTATCCAGATACTCAGAAAACCAAGTTGTTTGACAGTCACCCTCCGGAAGAGGCCTTTTGAGATGGAAAGAGAGCAAGATACTGCTCGGTGCCTGAAGGGGGCGCTGTCTGTGGAACTTGGTTGTTGGGCCACAGGAAGGTCCAGAATGGAGTGTTAGGAAGCAAGGTTGGGCTGCAAAATACGGAATTCGATTTGATTTTCACATTTTTGAACCAAGGACTAGCTGGGGTGGGGGGTGGGGAGAGGGAAGGTATGAGTGTGTGTGTGGGGGGGGGGGGGTGAAATGGAAGGTGCTATTTACAGAATTCAAGAGAGAAGTAGTAATTCCGAAGAAATGCCTTGCCCCTCTCCTCTGCTTTACTTCCCGCTGTGATTCTTGGTGGTCGTTTCTTCCTGAGGTTACAGGATAAACAAACCTGGCACACGTTGTAAAATCCTCACCCTGAGGAGCTCCTGGGGCTTCAGGCCTCTCTGGGGTTTTGCTATTTGGCCCAGCTAAGAGGTTTCATGTGTGTTGTTGTTGTCCTTTGCCCTCAACTATTTAACCCTTCCTTCTCTTGAAGCAACTCTTCCTCCAAAGAAACCCACCCCACCTCAACTGTCCCCTTCTTTTATCTTTCTAGTTGGAAAAGTAACCCAGGCCACATGAGGCCTTGAGTATATTCCAGTCTTCTAGCCACCAGTCTAGTTCAAGAAAACCCAGGAGGGGCCCAGAGACCTGGCTGGGAGGCCAGTGCTGCCCCTGGGGACTCCAGATGAATGCTTTTTCATCAAGGTCCAGGCCTGGAAAGTCAAAGAGGCAAAGTAATTTGGGATAAATTAGCTGAAGATCTTTTAGAAAAATAAGCAAAGAGATTTTATGTGGCAATTTCTTGCAACGAGATTGTACTGGCTTGAAAATTCAGTCGTTAACTCTGGGTAAGCAAATCTCGCCCAGAGCTCCAGGTATAAAACAGAAAGAGAAAGTACACTGATATCAGGAAAAAGGACAATTTCCCCTTGGATATCCCTCACTTAGAGAAAAGTGAACAGTTTAATTCAGACATAGGGGAAAAAACCCATTCTCCCTTCAAATCAGCCTTTAAGAAAAATCCAAATAAATGGGCTTGTGTGGTGTCTAAATTAAAATATGGCTCTCTTTATGGACACATGCCTCAAACATATTTTTTCAGCTGAATCAAAATAGGACCAACTTTATTCATATAGAAACTTATTTTTTAGTATTACAATACCAGGATCCTCTCACACTGTATATACAATAAGTCTGTCACTTTACATTTAAAATATACTTCTTAGATTTACATATAAAATGAAAGTACTAGTAGTATTTACAAAAAATACATTCAATGCCACTAACAAACGCTCCCACTTTGTGTTAGACAGGAATGAACTTTTGATCATGGCACGATGGAAACACTGTATGTAATACAAGTAAGTACATTACAAAACCAACCACACAGAAAACAAGGTAAGGCTGCTAGACCTAAGCCACTCGCTGTTCCACAAAAATTGAAGCCCAAAGCCAAAAGGCTTTTACATCTGAGCCCACACGACAGTGTCAGAGAAGTTTCTTTGTGAATGTCTCCTTCCCTTACAAAGACTCCTGGGTCTGGGTTCCTAAACATAAATGTAATGTGACCTAATCCAAAGGATTAGGCGAAGGAGCGAGGGTGGGAACGTCCTGCTGCAGTGAACATCCAGAACGATCATCTTCTCGAGTTACTTCTCCACCACCTCTTCCACGCAGGGGAGTTTGCGCTCCTCCGAGGAAATACTGTCCACGATGGAAGAAAGGCACCGAAGGCTGCTCGAGGCCGACGAATCAATGCTTGCCCCTCCTGAGCGCAGAAAACACACAAACATAGCACCCACGGAAGGTAGAAGAGGCAGCTCTGCGCCCAGCTAGCTGCACACCTCTTAGGCAACAAGGGAGCACAGGATCTCTGCGCGCGCGAAAGAAAAGAGCGCACTTCTCTCTGGGCGCGTCCCTGCTCTGGCTCTGAGCCTTTTCCGCCCGGAGCAAGCAACCAGCCCCCTCCCGGGGTGCTTCCTAGAAAAGCCCAGTGCCCTTTCTTTTACTTTACCTTCCTTTGCAGTTATTACGAGCCCCCTGGAATGATCCGAAACACTTGGCCACTGGGAGCTGCAGGTGCGCAGGAAATCCGCACCCTCAAGCTGGGGGAAAACCAAGGCAGCAGATTAGGAAAGAAACATGGGTTCCGGGGGTCAGGGTGCGTTTGCAGGGATGTTTCCCTTGTTTCCTCGGGCCGCGTGCGCATTTCCTGCCTATTACAGGCACGGGGTGTCCATGGGTCATTGGGGATTCATTAGAGAGGGAGCGGGGAGGGGTGGGGGGCGGCTGAGGAAGAGGGATGGGATAAAGGAGACCAACCAGCTGGATGTTAAAGCCCCAAGGAAAGCGTCTAATCAGACTTTGCATTCCCCTGCCCCGGCAGCATCTGGGCTTACATTCTCTTGCTTGGGTCTGTAGTTGAAGGGGTCCACCCCCAGCTCCTGCATTTTCTCCTGCTGATCCAGCCGGTGTAGCAGGTCCTGCAGCCGCTCTATGTAGTTGATGGCGCTCCGCAGAATCTCCACCTTGGGCAGCCTCTGGTTGGGGTTGGCTACAGTCCGCCGCTTCAGTGCCTCGAAGGCCTCGTTGATTTTCTTTAGCCGCCTCCTCTCGCGCAGGGTGGCGGCTTTCCGTCTGTCGGTGGGGGCAGATTTTCTCTTGCAGGTCTTACAAGCCCAGATCAGGCATTGGCCGGGACAGTGGGGAGGCTGTAGGCCTGGGGGCGCCAGGACGTGTTCCTCTCCGCTGCTGTCGCTCCCACCTTCTGGGGGCATTTGGTCCTGGCAGGGGGATAGGGTACCATCACTCCCTGGATACAAAGGAGAGCCCTCTGCCACTTCTAATGGCTGCAGGGTAACATTTTCTCCGTCCAAGTAAAAGAAATAGGAGCCTGTTTCAAAAAGGTCCATCATCATGTTCTCCTCCTTGGCCTCTGACTCCGTCTGAACTGGGTGATGGGCTCAAAAACCCAGAGGAACCACCCAGATGGCATTTAATTAGTGCGGTGACATAAGTTGCCCCAGCTTTATATATAGTAGCTCCTGAAACTCAATCCAACTTTTAGCTGTCATGGAGCATCAGCCTCCCAATGTGGTTAGAGCCAGTGCTCTCTGGAACATTTCGTTTGAAAGAAAACTGAGAAGTGTCACCTCCAGAATGATGTGACAATCTATATGCAGAACAGGTTAAAACAGAATACTCAGTGAGAATACCACAATTTAAATACAGCAATGAACGTTTCCATTTGGGACAGTTTAGATGTTAACCTGCTTGCTTACAGGACAACTTTGAAACAACTGGGGATTAACACTGCCCAGTCCCCTCCCCCAGGCTCCTCTGAATTCTAAGTATAGATCCATGATGAGAGATTTCAAAGGCAATAGCCATTGCTTCAAAATAGCCTGGTTAATATGTGCAGAGTGGTTCAGTTCTTTTCTCTCCTGTCTGTCAAAAAGATGCTATTCCTGTGATTAAAACCATTACAGTCCTTCAAAGGTTTTACATGACTTTCAGGCTGCAGCCTCAGTAGCAGCAGGTAAATCTCTTTCCTCTCTTTTAATAAGGCTGTAAAATGATTTGGGAGCTGAAGAGGGTGGCTGGAGGGTGCTCAGATTACTTCTGTTGCTATTTTTTTTGAGGGGTGGCAATCAAAATCTGAATTCTATGCCTCTACGGTGGAACAATAGAACCTCTGAGTTACGGAAGGGGGGTTACAGAGGATGTGAATGCAATACATGTAATAACTGCTGTTTACAAGTAGCTTTTAGTGGAGACAAAACTGACACCAAAGCTAGACAAGGCTTCAGGATTCACTGTGGTCCCCACTGCAATGTGCCTCTGTTACGGCTCCTGTTCTATACATAGTGCCCACAGCTTTCTTACCAGTGTACTCACTGTCCATTGACTCCCCAGATTAGTCATTTCATTGGATTAGGATGAGAAAGGTACCAACTGAGGCACAAGCAAGGACATGGAATTTTTAATTGCAGCTTCCCTATGGTCCAATATACTCAAGTGTGGTGGTTGGGAAGGCGGTACAATATAGGGATGAAGGGCAGGTGCCCTAGAGTCAAAGGGCTCTCTTCTAGTCCTAGCTTAGTTCATTTCTATTCATGTGTGCATAGGTAAGCACAAGATCTCAATTTCTTCAAGATAATAGTGGTTGCCTAACAGAATTTGGGTGGGGATTCGATCAAATGATATACAGGTGAAATATACAGCCTATGTTAACTGCTTGATGAATGCCAGTGCATCAGGCTGTGTCAGGGCCAAGGCCATGTCTTATGGAGGAAATAAAGCACAGCTATTGCAAAGGCTTTTCTGTTCTGTTCTTTTTTCTCATTTGTTATTGTTTTTCTTTTCTTTCGTTTCCCTTTTATCTTTTTGTTCCTGTCATTCCTATTTTCTTTTCTTTTTGTTCCTTTTATTTCCTTTTCTTTTTTCTCCTAGAGTTCTGGAAGGACCCACTCTGTCTGTATGTAGGCTGTGGAATGGCAGTCAACTTTGGTTTTGGCTTTTGTAGTCAGTGCCTGCAAAACTAGATAGAATCCAAAGGTCTTCTTATTCACCCCCAATATGCTTGATATAACTTCATTTTTTAAGTGAGGAGACTGAAGACAACACCAGAAATCAATGGTCAGACATTGTAGGAATGAGCTAAATTTTCAACTGAAGTTGCTCATTCTAGAAGATAATTCTTCATAATCTCTTTATTATTTTTATGATATTGATTTTTAGAGAGAGAGAGAGAAGTGGGGTGGGGGAGAGGGAGAGAGAGAGAGAGAAAGGGGAAAGAGAGAGAGGGAGAGAAACATTGTTTTGTTGTACTACTTATTTATGCATTCACTGACCCTGACTGGGGGTTGAACCCTCCACCTTGGCGCATCTGGATGACACTCTAACAAACTGAGCTACCCAACCAGGGACCATAGTTTCCTTCTATTGAGCCACGGATTTGCAGTATTAAGCTGACATTTGGGGCTGTTTTTAATCTTTGTTGTTGTGCAGCTGAATAATTCTTTATCAGGTGTGAGAATCATTTTTAGGTTTCAGAAAAGTAGGAAGCACAGAGAAGGCTAATAAGAAGCCAATATTCCTTCTGTGATATTTTCTCCTATTTCTACCAGTCCTCTGGCTGCGGTGATGTCAGCAGTTCAGACAGCATGTTGGAGGCTCCAACAACGCAGAGTGCTGTCTAACATCCATTATGGAAAGTTACACTGTGCTCTTAACCATACTCTATGCTGCATTTTATAATGTGAAGATAACTTGAAAAGTCATACTTACCAATACATTTCTATAGCATAATTGCAAAGATTACTAAGATAATAATAACTGAAATTCATTTATTCAATATTTGGGGGGCACCTACTAAGTTCCAGATAGTGTCCTGGATGTTAAGGATAAAACAGTGAAAAATGATCCCTCTTCTCATGGAGTTTGAATCTAGAAGGGCAAGGGAAATTGACTAAGTTACTAAGAAAAGTGGAGGGGGCAGAATAGCCCTGGAACTGGGGTGTGGATGGCCTAGATTCTAATCTTTTGAGGCCTGTGAGAATTTAGTCAATCCTCATATCTCAAATTCTCAGTTTTTTAATCCATAAAGTTGATACCGTGACAAAAGACATCATAGTCTCAAAGGCCATAATGAACATGAAGTTTTTAAAAATGTGAAATCCCTTCAAAAATGTTGCATACTCTGTGAAAGTACTTTTATTACTGTAATTAGGTATGTAGAAAAATGAAATAAGAAAACTATTGCTACTAAGGAATTTTGCTGCTTCAATAATAGAAGTAACATCTAAAGTGATATCATTCTTAGACTCACTACTGATTTTAAGATGTATCGAATAGATGAAAGAATCTACATGTCATAAACTGCTAAAGAATAGGAAAGCATGTTCTTTCTCCTTTGTTTTTTCCCTTATTCAAGTGTTACCACTGGAGAAACAGTTCAATATGTAGAAACAGAAGATTCTAGGAAGAATTAGGAAAATCTCTGAGATGCCAATTAAGGGTACCCTCTCAGACTGAGGTGATATTTCTTTGGGTGTATTCAACCTTCACTGTCAAATGATCATTTCTTATTAAATTGCAAAGCTCCTTTCCCAACATTCTGTGGAACTTAGGCTAGTAAAGTTAGTGTTTTTGTGCATTTTGGCCTAAAAATACATTTCTGTCTTTTGTTTTCGGGTAGGAATGGGAGGAAAGAAAAAAGGAAATGCAGCTTGATAACCATCCTGTGTGAGATTAGGTAATGGGAAAATAGGCAATGATTCCAAACAACCAGTGAATTTGGAACTCACACTGTTTGCAAAATCTGAGATGTCTGTAATTGTAATTACATTATTTCTCAGTGGGACTTGGGAGCCACAGACTTTGATGGGTGGTCAAAACAGGTTTATGTAAACTGAAGTCCCTGAGGCTTTAAATAATTTAAATACATTTTTTTAAATGATGGGAAAAGCAGATCATCATAAGAGAATAATAATATTAAGTATCAGTAAATCACTTCAGAGGCCTAGACCTCTGAAACTTGAGATTCATAACAAAATCTGAAACTAGGTGACTGAATTGTGTTTTCAAATAGTTTGCCACCCCCTTATTCTTATTTTATACTTAGTTATTTCTAAATGCATTTTCTTCCCATCATCTCCACAAATGTTTGAATATGCCCATTTCTCTCCTTGAGAAGGAGTGGGAGGGAAAGGATTATGGTTCTTTTAGTCAGTGGTGGATTATAGCTCTGAGCGCTTGCGAAAGTGGTGTATGTGATGGAAAAACAGAGCTCTGGAGTAAGACAGAGTTGAAGTTCTAGCCATTCTTAACTGTAAGTTCCAAGCCTTTTTATAAGATCTAATGACATATATAATCCATACATCACTGGCTTATTGTTAGCATAAAATGAAATAATATATGTTGAGTTCTCAACATGGAATATCTCAACAAATGTTAATTTCCATCCTTCCCCTATTCAATTCATAAGATTGAAATAGCCATACTGAATTGATTGAAAAACCTAGATCTGATGAGACATATGTTTAAGGTAAATTGAGGGATTTATTGGTGTTAATGGTATAATGGAAGTGAAAATATGGAAACTAGTGACCTCAATCACAGTGTTTCGTGTATTTGGGCCCTCAACAAGTATTCAGTTTATGAGGGACAGACACTAATTTAAAAAATCACACAAAGAAAGAACTGAGCTGGGAACTTGGGAGGAAAGAAATGTAGTTCTATGTAAGTATATAACAATAAAGAGTTTGTCATGAATGGGAAGCTTGGGAAACAGACAGAAGTTCCTGAGATATTGGGTTTGTATTTCTAGGAAGCAAAGTTGAAGATTCTTAGGTTTGGATTGAGACAGTAACAGTGACAGGAAACTTGAGGAAGAAATAGACACAGATGAGAGTTTGTCAGAAAGTGGCAGAAAGATTTTTGTAGGTTATATCTAAGGGATATGACTATATCATTGCACAGTTGGGCTCAAAGAAAGCAGTTTCAGCAGTGGTAGCTCAGAAAGTAGAACTGAGGGCTAGACAGAAAAATGATGATAATTTTTCAGTAGTGAGAAGAGAGAGAAGGGAGAAAGGGAGTAGAAGAAAGAAGGCTTTAGGGAGAGGAGGAAAAGAAAATGGGCAGAACCTAGTCAATTCTGTAGGTAGAAGAAGTATCAACCAGCAAGGCCACTGAGTGGCCCTAAAGGATAGAAGGTGAAAGGATAGAAGGTGAAAGAAAGGAAAAATTCAGGACAATCAGATTAACGCTTTAAACTTGTGGACGCTAAATGAGTAACATGAACCTGTGCACCTGTAACTTACCTAATCTGAAGACAGTTCATGCCCAGAGATTCCCAAACATTGTGGTAAAAATAGATATGCACTTAAACTGACAGAACATTCCAGTCACTTCAGAGGAGCTGGGGGAGGGGCACAAACCAAGCAGAGGTAAAGGGAAGATTTTAAAGTGAATCCTTTGCAATCTCCAGATGGTGGTCCTGAGAGGTTAGACAGAGAAATGAGCAGCCCTTTGGAAACAGTTCCAAGGAAATGAGTCTATGACAGGCCAAGGGGGAGCCAGAGAAATTCTTCTTCAGATCTTCCAAGAGACACATTTTTGCCTTTTTCTCTCACCTCTACTCCCCCTCCATTTAGACGTAGAACAAGACTTTCCCGAAACCCTGTGTTCTATTAACACACTAGCTGCAAAATGCTCCTTAAGGAGGCTGCTGCTCATTTCTTAGTTTCTGACATAATTTTTAGGGAAAGAGACAATGCACTCTCCTCTGCCAGAGGAACATTCCTTGGTGCTTAACAAACGAAGTCCTCTTCATAATGCCGCATTCTTCCCTATTTCTCACTCAAATTTACAAATTTTGAGAATAAATCTTGTGAACCAATAGATTCTTTCCTGGTTAAGTATTGCTTCCTGGTGAGTTACCAACTGACACAGGTTTGCTTAGGATGGATACACAGGAGGCTCAACTTGTGCTCGAAAAATGGGGAAATCACAGGCAAATCAGCATGAGCTGGCTAC